ATTGACCTAAGCGATATTCATTTTACCAAAATACATTAAAACGAAACATATTCTAGAGTATAGTACAGTTTATACTGTATGTTAACTTATCCGAGATTCGAGGCAAAGAAGTTTCCCTGCAGTTAGAAATATACTGAGTTCCAAAATGTGCGTCTTTATCGCTGATGCCATGAAATGGCTGAACTGAAAACTCGCTAGAGTATGAAATGCGAAGGCAGAGCTAAAATATTATGCTCATTAAGCCTCAATGAATACGAGTAAGGCCAGAATTTTAACATTAAGGCGTTTCTTATAATGTTTCATTCAATGACAAATTCCACGTGAAAGTTACACGTTTACTCTTGTCGTGATGATTCACTTTGTATATTCAATACATGCATCATTTCTCTAAATTCTCAAAATTTTGGAGCAACTGATAAATTTGAAGCCGAAAATAAATCGAGTTTACTCAAAAATTCATACATGTCATAGAAGTAACCTTTTATATGTAGGCAGATGCTATATTCACTTTCACGTAAAATATACCTGCCTTCCTTTCAACCGGCAAGCATATTTTTACAGCAGTTAGTGGTTGTCTCATTTTTTACCATTTGTAAGTTTTGCCAATAATGCCTTTTATATCCATCGAGAAATGGGGTAAAGTAAGCCGAACATGGGTCGGTATTTATACCATCTACTAACGGTGCGAGCGGTACAACGCGAGTTTCCTTTCGGAACGCGTTTCCACCGCCCGAGGGACAAATTTTTGGAGCACTCGAGCTATTTTAATGAGCGCACAGCGAGTGTAATATGAAAAAATGATGATCGTCAGAAATTCCAGCCCCGAAGACCGTATAAAAAAGCGCGCATGGGTCTAGTATATATAAAACATAATGGGAAGTAGACAGTTGGTCAATGATAGACTGATCCTTTGGAAGAAATGAAGGAAACACGAAGATCGCGGCCTCCGTGTAAGAGAATGCACATGCTTAAGGCGGCGCTGTTAGTCTCGGAATAGCGGCAGAAAGTGAATATGTGCTCCAGCTTATGTCTAGAAAATGAATATGTTGGGGCGCGCTCGGCGGGCTATCTATTATTTAAAACTAACTTCCATTTGCCCCTACCTGAAGGTATTATGGAATGCAAAATTTATGAACATTGAGCCCCACCTGGGAAAACAGATCAGGAGCAGTTTTTCCTGCATTCTGTGTTGTCTCCTTCTCTCCCTTTCTGCTTCTCTATCGCAAAAGTTCCTCACTATTTCCTCTGCTTAACACTTGTCTTCGGTTAATGGGCCGGATGAGGTCGAATCTTAATAACCGAGGTAAAACACGACATTATAAATACACCTGACGATACCCAGGTAACCATGGTGACCAGGGATAATTAGGCGCGGATCCTCACTGCCTTCAATATTTGTTTTACGCCTTTTGCTACATGGGACTTGACGACTTTAAATGGATTACGGAAACAGTGACATCGCAAATCTGTAGTAAAGAGTTAAAACGTGGCTTTAAAAGAGGCGATGGATTCATCTTAGCTGGCTTTTTAGTTATCTCCTCGTCTCGCTGGAGGGGAAAAACATAGGGAAGTTAAAATTCTTTTTCCAAGTTCGTGAAATGGCTTTATAAGTTTTTGCTTTAATTCATTTATACGAAGCAAGTTATATTTTCTTGCTTCGGTTCAACAGGATAACAGAAATAAACTGGCATTTTTCAGTTTAGTATTTAAGATCAGAAAAATACGTAAAAACCTAAATTTATTTATTTTTAAAAAATTTTTCTCTAGACTTAATTCAGTTTGCATTGCAATGATTTATATAATGAAACTATAGCTCTTACTTTGTAAAATTAATAAATTACATAATTATGCATCAAATAAAAATCAGTTACGAACAAAACAATGAACAACATTGAAGGTTCGGGATATTTTACGAGGGAAATAATTATCAAAAGAAAGTAGTTCAACATTTTTCTTGCAGCGTTTCTTGCTAAAGTCGTTTTTACGTTTTCCGCTATAAATTATTTTCTAGAACTTTGCTTGCATGCTCTAAAAATATAGTCAACTTGTTCCAAAGGCAGTTTTTTACGATAACACACACGTGCACTTTCTAAGACAAACTGGCTCAGAAGCGCTTTTTTTTTTTTTTTTTAACTTAGTGTATTCGTGTTATTTATTGCAAAAATAAGCCTTTGTAGATGGCCTCTGTTCTCAGGAATCTAAATTAAATTACCAGGGCTTAAAATGTTTGCAGATTCTCTGCTGAGCAACCTTAAGTGAGATCAGGATGCTAACAAGTTTCGCGGAGGTAAATAGTTTTGATTTCATGCTTCCTCGTTAGAAATTTTGATACCACATAAAAACCGAATTTAAAATAGCTACATTATTCCCATCATTAGTTTAACGCCCTTCTCAAAATTCATTATTTACATAGCAATGAATTATGCAGAGTGTTTAAAAAAAGTGGCTACAGGTTTTTTTATCCTCATATATTGATATTACACACATATTTCCAGTTACAGAATTCATGAAAACAAAATCGATAAATTATAGGAAAACAGTTTCAGTACTGTGAATACTGAGAGAATTTGTATATATAAAAGTCCAAAGTTTTGTATGGCATCTGTCGAGCAAAATTTCAAGTTAATAAAATATTTATTCCTTTTCGGTACATATAGAATACTCCATATATTTAAGTACAAAATTTGCGGAAATCCAAATAAATTTACTGGTTTAAATCACATTTTAAAGCGTATTTCTGACCGAAATTATGCAGTTGGGGACAAAATGTTAAGCTGACCAAATTTAACTTTATAAGTGCCTCCAAATATATTAATTACGAATATGTCTGTGATTATTCTGTAAGGGTAATGAACATTTTACATTCAACTTGTCAAAATATAATTAACATCTCCTTAATTTGAATTCTTGTTCTGTAAAAACCATAGTACCTATTTACAGCTAGAGCTGAAACAGCTCTCTTAAAATGTTCTAACATATTTTGAGAAACTTTGAATTTGGAAGTACATGTCTAGAATCAATACTTAAAGGAATAACTCTAGTCTCCTTTTTTGAACAGCTGAGCATTCTTATTTATAAATGAAATCAAATAATGCTGATGAAAAAAAAGCATATAATTATAACAATAATAAAAGCAGTGTAACTTAAAAATTTGTTTACCAAGTTTCGGTAGAAAATTCTCTTGGTGTTCTACATTGAAAGGGAATTTTGCCCTTAATATGGTAATTCCTTTCTTCTGAAATTTGTCTTTATATGAGGTTAACACCGAAAATATAATTTTCCAATTTCATTTTTATAATTTAGATGAAAATTTGTTTATATAGACAAAATGTTGTTACGTTTAGCATTATTTCTGTAAAATTCTCATATACTTCTGTGGTTGGCGTTTACCTTGAATTTTTTTTCCTATTTCTTTCTATTTCTCATCAGTCACAGTCTTTTATGTTTGTATTTATTTACTTATTTGTAAAGTTGGTAGATATTATTATAATTTTATGCATGGCTGCATGCCATGCATAAAATTATTTTAATTATTACTTTTTATTAGATTACCGAGTCATTACTTTCTGTTTTATTTGATTTCTTTTTTATTCCTTTGATTTGTATTTTATTTATTTACACTTTTTTTATTTACTTATTTTAATTGCAACCAAAAAGTTTTAAGATTTTTTCTCGTAAACTAGAAAACTGAACAATACTTATGTAAATAACCGAAAATGCGTATTATTGTGAGGTCATAATTCAAAATAAAAATGTAATTTTGAATATTTTACTTCTCTCAGTTTTTCAAAATAGTGAAGTTATTGCAACAAAGAGTGCTATGATAGAATGAGCAAATTTTTATTACATTTCAAGAAGTATAGTTAAGTTTTCTTTTAATTTATCAATTAAAAAAAAAAAAAAAAAAAAAAAACATCAGGTAGAGCACGAGAATGTAAAACAAAAAACTATCAAGGAAATGGTTTAAACTATGAAGCATTACCAAATTAGAAATAAACTGATGGTAATAAATAAATAATATTTTTCATTTTTGGAGATATGCTGCAGAAAATACTTTAAGTCTTTGTGAAATGCTACCCTTTGAAAGGAAACGATCAAAAAGATAAAATTTTAATGAGCAAGTCTTCATGCAAAACGATAAGTTAAATGTTTAAAATTGTCTGTAAGAATGAGTTTTTTAAAAATTATTAAAATATGTTGGGCAAGAAATAAAAGTTTTAAATGATATTTTATAAAAAATGAAGAATGCTACGTGATACATAAATGTATGAAAAAATTAATTAGTCAAAACATTCAAAAAGTAACAGCCTAAAAGGAGAAATTCCTGCGTTGAGAGTTTTCTAGACGTTTCTTGCAAAAGAAACTCGACTATACGTTTACCCACGGGCAAAACCCGAGTTGTAAGCTCCAGATGCAGCCAACTGCCTTTTCTGTAATCGGAATTCGACACTAGGACATGATAGTAATTGCTGGGTAGCTTCAGTTGCTTCATCAGTATGTGTGTGTGTGGGGGGGGGGGCTTTATTAATGAGCAGGTTAATTAAGAAAGTGAAAGGGTTCCCTGTGATAATACAATAACATTAAAATTAGTTTAATGACTGTTTAACTAATGACAAACAACTCTAGACTGCATTAACAATGAAAACTGCATATTTTCCTATAATTTTACTTATTTTAGGCTATGCTTTTGGAAATGATAATATTTATATTAAGAGCGCAAGACTAATATTGATTAAATGACTATACTTCTCTCTCTGTTTGTTTATTTTTTAATTATGGTAAAAGTTTTTATCGTCCGCAGGCTGACTCTTTCTACTATGCCTTGTAAAATTATTTATTTTTAGCAATTGTTTTTTAGTGAACTAAAATTATTTATTTTAGTAACGTAAGTGACAAACTTTTCTCGCATTCATTCACTACAGATAAATTGAAAAATGTCATTTGTGTAATTAGTGCAAAACTTACATCTAAGAAATAATATACCCTGCCATATTTTTCAGGTTTTTTCTGAAGTTCTTCTTGAAGTGCAATCAGAACTGTCTAAAAAACGCAGGGAATCCTAGAGACATGCGACGATTTCAGGTAAAAATTTTACCTCTTTTCTCTTACTATGACTTCAATCTATATCTTACTAGAAACTCAACTAGCTCAGTGTAATAATAAAAAATGTAAGATTGTAACGTACGAATGCATAAAATTCCAAACTATTGCCAAGTAAATAATAATCATAGGTTTATATCGAAATACTTCTCAGTGAAATTCGTCTCTCAACGAATGTTCCATTAATGATATTTCGATTCGCTGTCTGTTGCTGTCTCGTACTTCGGGGGTCTATCTCTACTTGTACAAGTCTAACATTTACTCGTAAGAGTGAAATAACAGGAAAAGAAAAGGCGAACGCAGGATTGGATGTTGTCATCATGCTTATTCCCGCTACTTTCTTACGGCTCTGCCTATGGCTGCGCGGAAGAAAAGAGTCCGCCCACCCAAGAAGATGGATGAGCAGACGCTAGGTTTCCCAGTAGGGCTGTAGAAAGCTTCGAGATAAAAGCTCTGTTGCGGCTAATGAGAAGAAGGGAGAAATTTGTCGCAGCCCCTCCAAGGGTCTTTTCTCACTTATTCGACCGAGGATCCAAATTTCCCAGGGCGTTCATCGGCACCCTAGTCTCCTTGATTAGTAAACGTAAATTTTAGAGAGGTCAGAAGGCGCTATCCCGCAGGTAGAGCCTAAGCTGTCAGCAGCGGGGCTGTTTATTTATGCATTTCTTCCCCCTATTGGCGTCTGTGTCCTTACGAGCCACAGGGGAACAAAAGGCGGGAGAGAAATAGTTGGCGACTAAACTGGGAGAGGGAAGGGATGGGAAGTGCATTTGTATGCTGATGTGTCGTGCGGTTTGCGCAAACGCTCGATATGCATGCCATTGAAAGTGTCGAAAAGAAACGCAACTTGGGATCGAACTCTTCATTACAGATGCGAACGTCGTGCCGGGAAGACTCCCCCAAGGGGATCCAGTAAGTAAAGAACAACTATCGCCCTACTCATACGGAAAAAACACAATGATGTTTAACATTTTTCTCCCTATCGTATCTCGGCAGTTGCTGTATCGAGTACGCTCTGTCTATCTGGCCTCTTCTTCTCTTTCCTTCCCTTCTGTCCCTTTTTTTTTTATCTCCTCGACGCGCGCTCTACGATAAATATGTGCCGAATGGAGACGCGCGTCTTTACAAAAGCGGACCCGCCATGCTAAGAATTGATAGAGGAGGGAGAGGAATAGAAAAGGGGGACAAGAAGGAAAAAAAAAGAAAAAAAGAACTTAGAGAAAGATAGAAGAGTGTAAACGAGTTGCGAGTTAACAAGAAAAACGCCTCCAGCTTGGTGGCCATTGTAAAGGCTGCAGTTAACAATGGCTGTAGCAAATCTGGATATATAATGAAGGGTGGGCTTCCTGATGCTCCGCTTTTCAGCGCTGAAAATTCGCTATTCTCAATTGAAATGGATTCTTCTTTTTATCTATCCATATATCCAGCTTGATTTTTAAAGCAAAAGTGGACGACATACTCACCACGTTTTCTTTCTATTTCTTTGTCGTTCGCAAGAAGTACAGAGTATTCTGATTTCATTAGTTCACAAGAAGGGATGAAAGTATGAGGGAAAGTAATAAATTTACATCAGATTTCTGAAGCGAGAATATGTTTCACTTTATTTCTTAAGAAAATTTAAATAATTTCCTAATCGGTACCATGAACCAACTGTTTTTGATACATTCAAAGCACATATTTTTTTTTTCTTTTTTAAATCTTTCCGCAATTTTCTTTCTTATCACAGACTTTCATTCAGAAATCATTTTTTTAGTCATAAAATGTCTTAAAATGCAAGACATCATGTTTTTATTTTTATTTTATTTTTGGTCTGACGATGAATTCAAGAGAAAAATTATTATGTATTTAAAGTAAGCAAAATTAATTTTATTGGACCCATCGAATCATTTTATGATTTCCATTTCAAATCTTTTTAACGAATTAATTAGTATTTCCATATATTTGCCTATTCTGGGGAGCATGATTTACATAGTTATTATATTTTCTCATGTATAATTACTTTCTGTTCTTTTGCCGTTACTTTAAAATTTTCTTTTGCTCCAGCTTGCTATATTATTTCAAAATGCTAAAGCGACAGTTATTTCAAAATGCTACAGCGACAGGAAAATAATTCATTCATTTTTAGTAGTAACGAAACACAAATTCAGAAGACAATTACACATAGTTTTACATAGTGTACTTTTGTATGCACAACTGAAAAGTGATTAATTTCGAAGGGGAATTAAATTGTATCGGTGTTTTCATGCTCGCCTACTAGTGACAGTTAAACTCTAGTAATTCAACTTCCAGATTCAAACACCGGGGATAGGCTGGCTGCATGGACGTTTTCGTGGATTTTTTCTATGTGCAACGTGAATGCGAGTCAATTTCCCTTAAAAATTCCTCCAGGAATATGCCTCTCCCTATAAAAAAACAGCTATAACGTGCTTTATCATAATCCAGTACATATCTAATTTCAGTCTTTCATGTTCAATTCCCACCATTTCACTGTCTCATTAATAATCACTTTTAATGTGGATTTACTTTCTGCTTGGCTTACGGTTTTAAGATTAATTTTTCAGGAACAGTGTGAGACTGCTTTATGAGGATATCAAAAGTTTCTCTTGTATCTGCTTTACTATTCAGTCATCCGATATGATATCAGAACTTGGATCTTTTCGTATGGTTAATAGTGAAGCAGATAGATCATGTGATAGCTCAGATTTCACTACATGCACCATAAGTCTTACATAAAAATATTTCTAACTAGAAAATGAATACTTAGCTGACTTCTGTTGCCAACTATGAAATAATGGAAATGCATTTAGTAACTGAAATGAGCCTGTAGAGTAAACGTGTCTTACTAAATACTGCTTGATGATTCTTAATGAAAGAGTTTGTATAACAATAAGTATTTTGTTATGCCTTAGTTACAAGAATTTTGCATACATAAATAGACTTGTAATAGCCGGTGTAGCCCAACTGCCCGAATCAAGTTCCCCCTTTGCCTGCCCATAGCCTAGCTGCACGAATCAAGGTTTTTCCCTTTGCTTGCCTGTGGGATCTAATGACCTCATTTCGAAGAAGACCCCTCCGTTTCAAAAAGCTGAAAGTTACTATTTATTTTTACTTTTCGAAGACAACAGTAGACAGCAGGAAAAGAAAACTATAGAAATAGAATTGCATACCACGAGGACAAGTAAAGAATAATCTAATAAGCAAGCTAATTACGTGAATAACTGTTACAAATGCAAGAGCTAGCAGAGGAAATAAGCAGTATTAGTAAACAAACAGATTAGCACTGAAAATACATTTCATTAATTGCAATACTAGAGCGAATAGTGCTATAATAGTATATAAATTAGATAATTATAAATTTTACGAATTATATTTCTTATAAGTTACATTTGTTAATGCTATTATTGCATTAATATCTTTCTTTAACAGTAATAATCATGGTGTCTCAATTAGATTGGAAAATTTAACATAGTTAACTAGCGGGCAAACGATTATTCGGTATATTAAAGTATAGTTAAGGAATAAACATGTTAAAGGATAATAATTAGTACTTTCAGGAGAATTTCGGAATAAACATGCTAAGTAAAATAGATGGAAAAATAATCCATAATTTACGATACCCGCATAAAGTCTATGTTGTTAGAAAAAAACTTAACGTATAATTTGCACCAAGGTATCAATCATAGAAACCGAGTTATTTTCTTTGCTTATTAGAGGGATTTTTTATTAGAGGGATTTGCAAAGTGATCCGTTAACGTTAAAAATTGCAAATGAATAAAACTTCGCAGTGTTTTTAAAGAATAAAATTTAAAGAAGTTTTTATTTCATAAACTGAAGTTTTTATACAGTGCATTTTTCCATATTAAATATATACAGAAAAAAAAAAAAGAGTTGGGGTACCTCTGAGATTTAAAACTCCGGTCGAACTACCAGTGTTCAGTGACTTTACCGCTTGGTCCTAACACTTCTTGAAATTAGGCTGATTAGATGCTATATGTTGAACATCATATTAAAGAAAATAGAAAATACAGGGCTCGTAAACACAAAAGTGTGCTGAATATTTGGTAAATGAGTAAAACTTAAACTGTATGCCATTATAAAATATTAAGAATGTAACATAAAAGCGTCAGCAAAGAATGAAATAGCAAACTATATCATTGTAACCAACATGTATAGCATTAGGATTACTTGCTATTAATTCAATACTGCTGAAAAATTTTATAAAAATTATAAATTAGGTATACTATAAATCACATGAACTCGTCGCATTATAAACTACAGGTGTTTAAAATATTATTAGCGTGATTTAGAGACAATCTCTCTTTATAAATAATTTCAAATAATTAATTTTGAAAATAATTAAGCCTGAAACTAGATTTTAAAATAAGCTGCTTATTGAAGATTTATCTGTACCAAGGTGTTAGAAACATCATCTGTTAACTAGAGTTATCATGCAAGAGTTTATGAAAATTATTATTTAAATATAAATTGATGTAAACACAATACAAAAATATACAAATTTTACATAAATGAAAACTTGAATACAATACAACAATCTATGAAAAAGAAATGGAAGACAAGGAAGTTGAAAATACGAAGATATGAATATATGGGAGTTCGAATTTTTTTATTTGTTATGAAAATGGTGCAGATGCTCATAACCATCACAATTATTATGAAATAAATGTGTATTATAAATCAAATGTATGCCAAAGTATATCGGTTCGTATAACTGGAAAACAGAATAAATTAAACGTTCCTAATATTAAAATAGGGAATTTGTAAGAAAGCTAAATAACTTTAAAATCAGTTCAGTGATTAAAAATGGAAAGCTTAGTAAGACATATATTACAATAATATTGGTGTGAATTTAGAACCACTTAGCAAACCTAAATTTTCAGATTTAAAATAGAGAATTTTAAAGTAAAATTATTTACCTAACATGATAAATCTGAAATTTAAAACCATTCTACTATCTAAGAAGG